TATTATTCAAAGTGGGTGACCCTGGAGGACATTATGCTGAGTGAAATATCTCAGTCACAAAGGGACAAATACTGCATGATGCCACTGTTGTAGAATGGGTCTGACATCAGGGTGGGGGTATGACAGAAAAAACTGGATAAATTATGTATATTGTATTGAAACAGATGAAGGAAAGAACAGTTTAGAAGTGATATATGATTGAGTATTATGGTTAGCACAGGAATCCAGAATTAAGGTTGCATAGAGAAGTGTACTCGGGGTAGGGGGTCGGGGGAAGGGACGTGGGAATTGTATACTAATGAAGGAATTTTATTTCTTTTTCTTTTTTTTTCTCTCTTCGGAGGGGGAAGGGAGCTGGTGGGGAGGGGTGGGCAGGGAGAAAATAGCGGCAATGAATGAATGGAAATCCAAAACCTCTGTAAAAAAAAAAGTAGAGGGAAAAGGATGACAGCCTCGTTAACCCTATGGGACAAATGGGCTCTGTTTCACAAGGCCACACTGTGGGTTGGAACTGACTCAATACTATATAATACAACACCCAACCACTCAGGATGTCAAGAGAGGGAAAAAAGCCTCCACATTTTCATATATTAAATCCCAGAATCGGATTTACTGCAGCAAGCCTCAGACTCCACATTAAATATTTAACAGTTTCTACAATAATAATCAATTAACACAGTGCAGGCAGCAATTGAAACATACCTTAAAAATGAGTTCTGGAGAAGAAGCTGCCACCTCTTCGATGTCAACACCGCCTTGGGGACTGCCCACCAGGACAGGGCCATTGCAGGACCGATCCATCAGAATGGCCAGGTAGGTTTCTCTGGAAATGTCCAGGGCTTCGGCCACCATCACCTACCACATTAGGAGAAAAGTCAAATGAATTCAGCATCGAGTTGATTTCCATTTGGAAATCTATATACACTTGCAAAACAAATCAAACAGCTTCATTTTCAGGATCTTAAAAACCTGCCAGTGAGTGTCCTGAGATTTGAGAGTCCTGCTTCCCTGGTGGTAATGTCCATTTTCACCTCCTTAATTGATCCTGTTAACTTGCTCAAGTGACAGGTATTCAGTTTGCCTCAAGGAACCTTCTGACTTTAATCTTCCCTCAACTCTCCTTCCTTGAGGAACCCTGTCACTTAAGAAAAACTCTAGGGAAGCAGTTGTTACTTTAATTTGAGTTATTAACAGAACATATATATTACTGCACTGCTTCTCAGATTTCAGCGGTAGAAAATGAAGCTGATTGCCAAAGAAGGATTCTTTTTTTACGGTTTGTCTGATGTTTCACATGTTTACATACTGTTGACTCCTAAATCATTCCACTTTATTTCATTTTATATGTTCTTTTAAATTATAAACATAATATTTACTGGTTCAAAAATCACACAAATGCCATTAAAAGTGTGTAAACTGAAAAGTAAAAGATCATTGTTGTATGCTTTCAACACACAAACACACACACACTCTCTCTCTCTCCCCCTCTTTCTCTCCCTCCCACTGGACATATGCCCACTACACACACACACACACGTATAGTCATGGCATGTGTCAGTGGATGCCTGCATCTCACTGTGATGCTTACTGGGTCTCAGTGACATTTTCTGACTAACAGACTAGGAAAAAAGGCCTGCTAATTTCCTTTGGAAAGTCATCCAGAGAAAACCTATACTGATCCCAACAGCCTAGTCTGATCTGCAGTAGTCATGGGGACAGCACATGGCCAGATTGTGTTTAATCTCATTGTATACAGGGTCACCAAGAGCAAATAAAGGAGGCCACTAGTCCACATGGACTCTCAGGGGTCCTTTTAAAAGGTGCCCTTACCAATGCATGAATGTAGCCGCATGCCAAGACCATAACTGAGAAACAGCTGAGCCCTCACTCTACACCTAGCTAAGTACATTCTGCTCTGCCCAACTGGAGCCTAAAATTTCAACCTCTTTCAGGGAAAACCAAGATGATCTTTCTCTTTCAAATGCAGCTGCAAGCATTATAGTAACAGAAGAACCTATACATGAAAACAAACAATAATACATATTGCTGCTGTGGTTGTGTGCTATAAAATCTGAACTGACCTACAGGTGAACCTCCAGTGGGTTTCCAGAGGCAGTAAATCACACAGGAGGGAACTGCCCATCCTGTAGAGCAGCTGGTAGATTCAAACCACGTACCTCTGAGATTGCAGTGGAGGTTCTTACCATCAGGCCACCAGAGCGCCCTACTTATACATATCAGAATTCCATTCTCCTCACCCCTCCTTTCTTAGCCTAACATCGTACTATGAACACTTAGCCTTCATCTCTCTCTTGTTGCAAGTGAATCAGAATAAAGTCCTAACTGACCCTCCAGCAGGTTTTCAGAGGCTGTGGGTCACATGGGAGGAGACTGCCCAGCTCTCTCCCACAGAGTGGTGCCAATTTGTGCCTTGGGTTGGCAGGGCAGCTCCTTAACGACCAGACCACTAGCAAATATGTGTCAACAGTTATTTATTCATTGCATTCCAGGTGCTGCAGTGATTAATAAAGACATTCAACTACTAAGCTAAAACCTCGGGTGCAGGTCACCTCAAAAGAATGGCCTAGATAGCTATCCACTTAAAAAAATAAATCAGCCACTGAAAAGCTTATAGGGAAGAGTTCTGCTGTGACACACATGGGCTCATCATGACTCAGAGTCAACCCAACAACAAATTAAAAACCTCACTGCATGGGCATCAACTCGGAGCTCACCCTCCAGAGGACTTACCGAGCCTGTGAACGGCACAGAAGGATACTGCCCATCTTTCTCTCATGGAGCAGTCAGTGGACTCAAACTGCCAACCTTCAGCTTGGCGGCACAAATGCTTACCCACATGACTGCCGAGCAACCCAACAAGGTTATTGTTAGGTGCCATCAAGTCGACTACAAGTCACAGCGACCCCACGCCCAACAGGGCTGACCCTGTGAACCACAGGGCTTCTCCTTGCCCTCTCCTGTGCTGTCCTCACCGTCTCTGATGTACGGGAGCCCACTGTTACACTTACTGCGTCAATCTACCTGGTTGACATCATTCCTGTATTTTGCTGGCCTTTCAAAGTATCATGTCCTTTACATAGCCCTGCCTACCTATGTACCTAAACCAAATCAAACCTACTGCTGTCACGTCACCAGAGTGAAGCTGGAGGTCACGGGAGAACTGTACTGGAGGGCTCCCAAGGCTATAATCAATATGGAAGCAGATTATCATATCTTTACCTGCACAGTGGCTGGTGGGTTTAAACTGCCGACTTCTGGGCTGGTGTCAAGTGACTTAATCACTGTGCCATCACAGCTCCCTCCTATGCCACCACTGACATGTGGACTTCAGTTTATTAAGCTGCTACCTCCTGACTATTCTTGTACTTTTATCTTTGGTCATTTGTTGTAGTTTCTTTTTAGGTAAAGTTTCTGTAATTATTAAAATGGCTAGGATTTAGAGTTCTCATAATAAGCACTGGCAAATTTCCCTCTAGAGGGAGGCTGTATCATCTTTTACTCCCAAGGAAAATGGTAAATGATATTTTTAAACATTTTTGAAAGAAAAGAACACTGTCATAAATAATCAGTAATAGAAGTGAAAATAATAAGAGCATTTAATTTGCTTTCCCGAAAAGTAGTTCAGTAAAAAAACCCCAAAACCAAACCCACTGCTGTTTAATCTAATCAAACTCAGAAATCCTCAGCAGGTTTCAGAGGCCATTTATCTCTACAGGAGGAGATACTCGCCATTCTCTCATAGCAGTTGGTGAATTTGAACCACTGACCTGGTGAGCAGCCCAGCTCACGTGCTACACCACAAAACATCTATAGTCCAGAATAGGTTTGACAAAAATCTGGTTAAACAGCATTCCATTTTAGCTATCCAGATGCCACACACACACAAAAGTGTTTTAAGTCATAAAATGAAGTTATAATAATATTGCATATATAGCTTCATTCTGAATTTTTTTTTTAAATGTTAAAATAATGCCTCACTCTTTAAAAGGAGTCCTAGTAAGACAGTGGTTAAGTGTTTGACTTCGAACAGGAGGATCTGTTATTTGTATTTACACATAATATGCCAAAGAAAGACAGGCAGTCTGCTGCCATAGAGATTTCAGCCTTTGGCTTCTATGAGCAGGACTCTATGGGGCT